ATAGAATATATTTTAATTTTAATTAAAATAAATTTTATCAAAAATCTTTTTTAAATGTAAGTAATTTTTTGTAAATGTAAGTATTTTTTGATATATTTATTTAATTTTATAGATCTAAATATTTTTTGGTTTAAAAAATATTTAGAGATTTAATCGTTTAAAATATGAATGTTAATTGATTTTTTTTCCGTATTTTTTCCCATTATTTTATCAAATTAACCAATTGTATAGGTCATAAGAACGTATCTAACATGTTTTAAAAAGTCCAAGAAGTTATTTAACATGTTTTGAAATGTACAAGGACTTATTTGTTTCAAAAAATTGTCCAAGAATTTAATCATTCCAAACACTAAAGTCCATTGGATTTTTTTAGATTTTTCCCTATATACATTATTGGTTATGGCCCAAAGAACGGTTCAAATTCCAGTCCAAAAAAGCTCGGTTCTCTTTAAGTTCGTTTGAACCAGATCGTCGTGGTTGAGTCTTTTAAATCGTGTGGAAAGCTCGGTTACAACCGGTTACAAGACCAATTTTTGGGCAAAGCCGGGTTAGTCCTGATGTCCACCGCTAAATGGTATGGCATCGCAAACGAGGTGCATTTGGTATGAGACTCGACATAATTAAACGAAATGTTAAGAGAATTGTGGAATGTTTAAGATTTTAATTTTTCATGTATAATTTAGTAATTTACCAGTCCTGTTTCATTTTTCAGATAAAAAATGCTTTTTATCTTACTCAATCCTGTCATGTCCCACTGTAATATCGAGTCAAACATGGGACAATAAGTCTTTATTTTGTCATGTTCTGCTCTGTCACGCAAGAGACTGTAATTTTCATGGAGAGTGGTTTCGTTATCGTTTACAAACTAAATGAGTCCTTGTTGAGCAGGGTGAAGGATGAAAATGCAATCGAAGTGGATTTAGGAGCCTTCGATTTTGGCATGCCTCATCTAACCCTCACTTCCTCTATCGGCAATGGGCTCGACTACATTTCAAAGTTCACGACTTCAAGGCTCGGCGGCCGTCTAGAGAACGCGAAGCCATTGCTTGACCACTTGCTAACCCTAAATCATCATGGAGAGGTAACCATCACTTGGACCATGTTCACCATGGGTGCATTGTTAAGTTTTTTTTCCCGAGAAACCATGAGTGTTCGACCCAGCTTATGCCTACCTTAATTAATCCAATAGGACCCTAAAGTTAACAGTTAAAGGCAAACCCTCCAATAACGCTAATGTATATGAATTATGGTTTATTGTTGCAGAAGCTTATGATCAATGAGACATTGGATACGGTTTCTAAGCTCCAGAAAGCATTGATTGTTGCCGATGTCTACTTATCGGCGCACCCGAGAAACGAGCAATTTCGTTCCTTTGAGCAGAAGTAATAGATAACCCGAGTTCTCTTTACTTTGAAATATTTGACAGATGGATTCAACAAACGTTTTTATGAATCGACAGGCTTAAAGAGTGGGGATTCGAGAAAGGATGGGGAGATACCGCTGAAAGAGTCCAGGAAACAATGAAGATCCTTTCAGAGATTCTTCAAGCTCCGGATCCAATTAGCATGGAATCGTTCTTTGGCAGACTCCCGGTTATATTCAATATTGTCATATTCTCCATTCACGGCTACTTTGGACAATCGGACGTTCTTGGATTGCCCGATACCGGAGGCCAGGTGCGTTGACTAATTTTCATGGTCAATTGTAGGATTGATCAACTTCAAATTCGACACGAGTACTATACCTTTCACCAAAAATTTTGATAAACCGATTCGGATTAACAAAATTTTCAACCAAGAAGAAAAACGGTGTTATAATTGTAGCAAAAACAGTTCCGATTTCGATTTAGTAAGAACTCGGTTTGACCTCAAAAAGTCAATCTGATTGCTGTGCAGGTTGTTTACATTCTTGATCAAGTGAAAGCACTTGAGGAAGAGATCATTCGCCGAATAAAGCAGCAAGGACTGAATGCGAAGCCTCGGATTCTCGTGGTACGTTTCCAGAGTGCATCGAAGACTTCGATGATTTTTAGGATCCGTGATCTTTCTATATAATCTAACGAATACACGTCTCTAGGTTAGTAGACTGATTCCCGATGCACAAGGAACCAAGTGTAACGAGGAGATGGAGCCGATCTTGAACACTATGCATTCCCACATCCTCCGGGTTCCTTTTCGAACTTCAAAAGGCGTTCTTCGGCAATGGGTTTCCCGTTTCGACATCTACCCGTACCTTGAACAATTTGCACAGGCAAGTCCCATCACTCCCCGTGTGCTACATATATAAAATTGTCCTAATAAACTGCTTAACATGACTTAAATTTATAAAACCAAATAATGGTGCGTCCTACATAAACGTGTTACAACAAGACAACTTTAAATGAAGCGTCCTATTAGTTTTTTGTGAGATTATTTGAAAAATGCCTCGTAAAAAAGTGTCCTATTATGACACTTTTATATTAGACTGGCTCACAATTGTTTGGTCTTACAAGTTACAAGCATAAGTCTTATAAAGCAGTCTATTAAGACATTTAGATATCATTGGCGTCCTATAAAGTCGATTAGCGACGACATTTGGTGTTCGGGTTGGTATTTCTTGACGGATATGTTCGATATCTTGCTTAGGATGCTGCATCTAAGGTGGTAGAAGTGATGGAAGGCAAACCAGATCTTATACTTGGAAACTACACAGATGGGAACATTGTGGCATCTCTTATGGCTAAAAAACTTGGAGTAACACAGGTTTTTTCAACTATCCAACTCGTTACTTCGGATGATTAAGTTCATCGAATCACCGATGGTTAAATTCTATCTCCAGGGAACGATTGCACACGCGTTGGAGAAGACCAAGTACGAAGATTCGGACGTCAACTGGAAAAAATTCGACAAAAAGTATCATTTTTCATGCCAATTCACAGCGGATTTGATATCGATGAACGCTGCGGATTTCATCATCACAAGCACTTTCCAAGAAATTGCAGGAAGGTTAGACGTTTAGGGTTTAGGGTTTAATAAAGTCGGAAAAAAACTGATCTTTTGGTGCTCGTTTTTGTCGCTTGTTTGTATAGTAAACAAAGGCCTGGACAGTATGAGAGTCATGCCACTTTTACGATGCCCGGACTTTGTAGAGTTGTGTCGGGAATCAATGTGTTCGATCCAAAGTTCAACATAGCATCGCCTGGAGCAGAACAATCGGTTTATTTCCCATTCACTGAAAAGGAAAAGCGATTAACGTCCTTTCATCCTGAAATCAAAGAACTGCTTTTCAAAAAAGAAGATAACGACGAGCATATGTAAGTTCTATAATTTACAGTGAATAGCAATCGTTGATTTTGGCTCGTAACATATTCATTCATTGAATAGGGGATATCTGGCGGACCGAACCAAGCCGATAATCTTCTCAATGGCGAGGCTTGATACAGTAAAGAACATAACGGGATTAGTCGAGTGGTATGGGAAGAACAAAAGGCTCAGAAGTCTAGTAAACTTGGTTGTGGTCGCAGGGTTCTTTGATCCATCTAAATCTAAAGATCGGGAAGAGATGGCGGAAATCAAGAAGATGCACGAATTGATCGAGAAGTACAAACTTAAGGGTCAGATCAGATGGATAGCGGCCCAAACCGATAGGAATCGCAATGGAGAACTATATCGTTGTATAGCTGATACGAGGGGGGCTTTTGTGCAGCCCGCATTGTATGAAGCTTTCGGGTTGACAGTTATCGAAGCAATGAACTGTGGGCTCCCAACTTTTGTAACAAACCAAGGCGGGCCAGCAGAGATCGTAGTTGACGGGGTTTCTGGATATCACATTGATCCAAACAACGGAGATGAATCAAGCAACAAGATTGCCGATTTCTTTACAAAGTGCAAAGTAGAGGAAGAGTTTTGGGATCGGGTGTCTCGAGCTGGCCTTCAACGCATTTACGAGTGGTAAGTTTTGGACTCGTAAAACATATCTCGAGCTAGACTTGAACTATTTCTCAGTATATGCCCGCTCTACTCTTTGAGATAGAGGTCAGGTTTGCATACATCTTTATCTCTTGGGGTATACTAGGCTCATTTGGTTTGGTATGGTTTATATGTTGGAACCTTCCTTCTGTCATTGAGGGCTTCTTTTGAGAGTAATCTAATGGGTTCCAAATATTCTCACAAATAATGTTTCTTTCTTTCAGCTACACATGGGAAATCTATGCCAAAAAAGCGTTGAACATGGGTGCGATGTACGGCTTTTGGAGGCAAATAAACAAAGAGAATAAGCAAGCGAAGCAGAGATACATTGACCTCTTGTATGATCTACAGTTCAAGAAGTTGGTGAGTTATTTCTAGATGTTTCGGTTTGACCGTACATACATGTCTACGGGAATACGCCTTCTTTAAACACTATCTATCGACTTTTACAGGTAAACGCCATAGAAATCCCAGATGGTGCGACTACTAAACCTCAAGAACAGGTCCGAACCAAACCAGCAAAATTAACACAACTGACAACAACCAGTGAAACTGCCAAACCTCCAACTGTGGTACCTCAAGAACCGGTGCAAGCCGTGGAACCAAAAGAAACACGGCCACCACAGACCATGTTGACCAAGCCTGATGAGCCAACACCAAGGTACGTAAGAGATGGTTCAAGTTTTTGGCTACAATAGGATATTATCTATTTGATTCTAATTCTATGGCATTGGTTTGTAGCAGGGAGCCAAGTTTAGGGTCGATCCGACTCAACACAGTGACCACTGCAGGAAAACCGTTGCTTGTTATTGTCTCTGTGATGATCATGGTCTATGCATCTAAGAATCTGTATAGGTATTTCAAATAGGGAATTGTGGTTGCATAATGTAAATGTGATAATAAGGTGACATAGATTGGTAACCATTACCGTTCAAAGAGTTTATAAATAAAACAAGAAAGTTTCTAATATGATTGCTTTTAGTGATGCACCAATGGGAGTGAATAAGGGGCGGTTTTGAGGCTTGAGCCAATCCGAACCAAGCATGCTTGATTCAGGCCAGCTCATGGAAAAACATGGTAGATCGGTTGACATTTAACCTGGTTCAAATGAGAACCGTAAATATTTTGAAAACCTAGGAACCAACATTCATGATGAATATCAATGAAAATGCATGATATTCATGATAAAAAAAAAATAGTCATAAATATTTTAGGGTTATTCATAATAAATAATTCATGAAATGGAAGGTTCTCAGGTTCTCAAAATATTTACAGTTCTCATTTGAACTTGCCCCGTTAACCTATTGGTCATAAGTTTGAATCGTACAAATATAAGAAAAAGTTGAACACCCAGTGACAAATGACAAACTTTCATTGAAGTTCCAAGTGTATCCACATCACAAAGCTAAGAAGCTTGGGTTTATTAGCCTTTTCAAACTAAGTATATATGTACAATTAACACAATAGGAAGACTTTGTACACAGAAATCAGACACGCACCCGTATATATATTTACGCAGAGGGTGATGGTTTTGCCGAAGCCTTGCAAATGGGACACCAATTCTTTAACTGCAGCCACTGGTTGATACACACAGCATGGTACCCATGAGCACAACTCAGCCTTCCTATTTCATCTCCTGCCATAAACTCTTCCTGCACGGGCATACGAAATTAGATTAGATTATTTGCATCTCGAGAACAACTACATGATCAGTCGCTAAATTACATATTTAACGATGTAAACTTTACTTGCTTCAAGGATTTTTGGGTCGGACTTTAGGCGAGTTAACTTAATTGAATACTTCAAGCAACCTAGGTGCAATTTAGCGTAATTCTAGGGTCTAAAGTATAACTTGGAAGAGACACAATGAGCCAGGCAAGACTTGGTGCAACCATAGCCAGGTCTGCCATCGTAATGTTTGAAGGATGCAGGGAAAGCAAAGATAACAGCAAAAAGTACGTAAAACGAGAAGATATTTAAAAAGACCTATCACCTGACAGATACTGCATTTTGTGTTATCCAAACACCAACTGCCTTTCATTCTCCACTCTTTCACATGCAATGGTTCGTATAAGCTAATTTTAAGACATTTCGACAATTCATCTTCAGATAGTGCTGTGCTTACTATACCCATTTTCTCCTCCAGTGCTAATAGTTCCTGTAAGTAAAAGCATACAAGAATTAGTTGGACTATTTGCTGGGGATGGGGAAGAATCTAATAGGCATGGGACAAAAAAAAAAAAAAAGCAAACCTCATAGGACATGTTATCAATGTCTAGTCTCATGTCCCTATGTTGATCATAGGAGTTGAAATCACGAAGAAGTGAATTTGCCTCCAGTGATAGAATTTGCTGCAGAAGGGAAAATAGCGTTAATTATGTGCAAGTTGGACTCTTTTTCTTTAAAAAAAGACGACTACTGACTACCTCATATGTTAACTCCTCATCTTGTTCAATCCTCTCAAGTGCCAGTAGTACCTATAAAACACCACATGAACCCTTGTCAACCCCTATTACAGAATGCAGATAGTGCTTTACATGTCACAAAATAAGTGTCCACAATACAAAAACACACAGTTTAAGAAATGTGTAATTATTACACTTTAAATTAACTGTTGACAATTTTACCCTTAATGATAGAGACAACCCTTCTCTCTCTCTCTCTCTCTCTCTCTCTCTCTGTGTCTCCCTCCATCTCATCAACTAATAAATATTCATGTTTATAATTAAGGGTAGAGTTGGAAATTAGTGAATGCTAGCCATCTATTTTTGAAACAAGGTTCTAAATGGCGTGAGGCGTGGCGCCGAGGCCAAGCCTCAAGGCTTAGGAGCCACGGCAAGGCCACAGCGTTTTTCAAGGAACGACTTATGGCGGCAAATCTTTATATCATATATAATATTTTATATATATATATATATATAAACATATGTTTTTGTACTATTACTCAATAAGTCAATGATAATAAACAATTTAAATTAGGTTATATATTAAAAACTAGCATATAAGAAATTAAAAACGTAAAGAAAAATCAAATATCACGTTACGAAAACCGCACACTTGGCCTGGGTGTGCCATAGAGTTAAACATGACGTGAGACACAACACACGGCGCCATGGCGGCTGTTGCAGTAAGCCTTTTAGAACAGTGTTTTGAGAGGGGACGCTTATTTAATTATTTTGGGACAAAGGGAGTAACTCAGAGAAATTACATTTGCAATTGCATCCACATTGTATCGGCCTGAGCAGTGACGATCATTAAAGTGGCCAACGGACTGTTCTGTAGAAGCAACAGGCATCATGCTAGATAAGGTATCACTGGAAGTACAGCCACTATTAGGGGTAGAACCATTTGATGAAGTTTCCTCGGATAACCAACATATTTCGGTTTGCGACATGTCAGGAGTCACACGAGTCGACTGGACTGGAGATGGATTGTTTCTATGTAGCTGATGAATGCATCTGGTTGAAAGGTCCACATTGACAGACCTCCGAGTCCTTACTGATGAAACATTACTTCCACTGCAGGCCGTCCAATTGGTTGAGCGTCTAGAATCAGAAATAGAACTTCCCTCATCTGATGATGGCCCACTGATCTTCTTCCCTCTAGCAGACGAGCCTGTTTCTCCTTCAGTCAATCTCTTCTTTACAACATTTCTTCTCCTGCCACTGTCAAAAGAAGTAATTTGAGCATCTTGGTTCGGAAGACCAGATTTTTGACCATACACCTTCCTTATTTTTGTGTTGGATGATCCCATTTCAACTGTCCTACCAACCGGCGTGAATCCAACTTTGTTAGACTCGGTGCCTCTGGATTTTGACTTAAGTTTGGCTGAAGCATTAAGCACTTGAATTCTAGATTCTTCTGAAACACTGCTTGAATGGGTGGAACTTGTCTCAGTCCCAGATGACAGCTTCTTCCGGGATTCCTGGAGAGGTTTTTTCACATTGATCAATGAAGAGGCTACTTCCTTGCTGTGTGAAGGACGAGAGGAAGATCTGAAAGGTTTGGGTTGGTTTAACAAACTACTTCGAGTATGTTTTGTATAGTTAAGTCTACCACTGCATCCAAGTCGATTGCAGAATTGAGCAGCTTCATCTCTAGAGCAATCGGTATCTCGTGTACCAGAACCTGATCCCTTTCTAGAGGCAGCAGCCCAGCCAACAGCTCGTTTACTGGAATATAAATCCATGTAGATGATCTGTAACGTCTCTTATCTGTCACAAAACTTCTATCGATTTAAACACAAGGGCCTTTAACCTATTTTGACATCAATCACTTGTTTCAACTGACAAAAACATTTCTTAATACATAGAAGAAATACCATAGGGTTGGGTTCCGGTGAGAAGGAGAGTTAAGGTGAGAAGCGTAAGAAGGGATCTCCATCCTTGGATGCACATTAGGATGAGATGCACCGGATCAATCCCCTCATGGGTGGGTTTGAGATTAAAGGTGATCAAGGGTCCATATCCCTTCTTACGATTCTCACATTAACTCTCCTTCTCACACGATCCTTCGCCAAATACCATAATACAAACCAATAATAACCATAAGAAGAAACTACACGTTCGCAATTTCTACCAGGAAAATGTAAAATACCATTCTTACAATTAGATTTTCTTAGATTAATCCAAAATTGGATAGAAATGTAGAAGTTTTAAATATGCAGTAATGGAGGGGCAAATAGTGCTTTTGAAGCTGCATTTAGGTAGTATAAGTTTTACCGCATATAGTAACAGTACAGTAATTTCTTTCATACAACGATGTAAGGAAGAAATCGAATATCTTCCTAAGCTGAAAGTCTGAAACAAGTAATTCCTAATAACCCCATGAATAAAATCCATATAAAAACTTCCTAAGAAGTAAATGATAACAGAGTTCATCTTTAAGTATCAAATGAGTTGCAATCTCCATCCCATTAAATTGTGACGCTTGGCTTGTAGGTGTTGGACTTAGGCTATGCTTGGAAAACTAGTTGAAAAGCTAGTTGTTGGCTGCAAGTTAGTTGTTAGTCATAGCATCTCTAAACTATAGTCATGACAATGATCAAGTAAGCTTTCATGAGATGTTCCAAGGTGAAAATTTTCACAAGTCCCATGAGAGTAATTGAAGGTTTAAAAGTGATAAAAAATTGTTTCAGCGATAGCTATATAAAAACCATTAAAACTTGTATAAACTTCATACACAGACCAGGTTGAATTTCAAAACAGAAAACAGAGACTTCTGGGGAACCAGAAATCAAATATTCGTACTTTCTTCATGTATTAGCATAGTTATGAATAAAGGTATGAGGGCGTCGTAAGTCTCATCGATTTCCATTTGTTCAGTGTTTCAGAAAGGAAACCAATAAAGCTCGATTAAAATCACAAAAAGTAGTCAAATAATCCCCTCAATCAGTCAACAATTAGAATAAACAAATATGATAATCATATTGAAAAAGTAATTAATAACAATACCAAAGCTTTCAAAGGACAATCAGGCCATCAATAAAAGGAAGATAAACCCTAATCGGTGATGATAGAGATTAAAATGATGGAAGAGGAGTACCAAATTGTTGTTGGATATGGGTAAAGCAACAGGAGTGGAGGGAGAATTGCGGAAAGTGAGGAAGATACGTGTAGGCGATGGAAGCGTAATAATATATGAAGTATTATTATTATTATAATTATGTATGGTGGGATGAAGACGCAAAGCAACGAAAGAAAGCAAAAAGTAGCTGAAATACCGGCCCGATTGAAAATGGCGGAGAGTCAACGGCCGTCCATGGCGGAGGTGGTTTTAACCAAAACCAACTCAACTCCAACAAGCTTTTTAAGCCAAATGTCCTCCATTTTTGTTCGCTTCCATTTGTTTACAGGATCCATTACCAACTTCAAAATGATTATAGATTATTATGATTCAAAAAGGAAAATTCATTAAAATAGGATGGTTTTATATTTTAGTATTTTTTTTTAAATAACAAAAATAGTTTGTAATTAACAGTAAGGTGTTCATGAGTTGGGTTGATCGGGTTGAGGACATTAGAACAACCCAACCTAATGCTTGCGGTTTAGAAAAATCTTAACCCAACTCAATCCACACCAAACCAAAGTGCAACCCAACCCAACCCGTACGGGTTGTTCGGGTTGATACTTTGGTATGTTAAAATATTCTTCTAACTTTGAATATGTTTCTCTACTCATAATTTCTTTTTCATCATCAACCATTTGATACAACTTATTCATATTTGTTACGTATATCACATTCAGTTAATTTTTTCAATTTACATATATATGTTCACAGTTACTGAATGAGTTATATAGAGATATGAATAGATTGAAAATATGTGTATATGAAAAGCATACATGATAGTGTAATTATCTAATGTATATATTAATAGAAATTCAACAATCATATTAAATCCAATAAATAAAAGTATATCGGGTTCATCGAGTTCATTGGGTTGGGTTGGGTTGGGTTCAAATAATAGTAACCCAATACCTACGGTTTGACAATTTTACAACTCGATTAGACATTGGGTTGCTTCGGGTTGGGTTATTTCTCGTTGGGTTGGGTTGATCGGGTTTTTGAGCATCCCTAATTGGCAGGTTTATAACTCACAATAATTTACAGAGGGGTCAAAGTGTAAAAAGAAGAAGTTTCTGAAGCAGGTCCGCAATTACAAGGATTAAATATATAAATTTGAAAAAGACTTGTGGACATATTTTTGCTGACCTATAACTAGTTTACAAATATATTACTTGCAATTGCAGACGTAGTTTCGTTTTTTTACGCTTTGACACATCTTCAAATACCCTTGAATAACATAAATATTTTAATTGACTAAACTAAAGAAAGCTCGAACTATATGCCTAATTTCCGATTAAATATTTGTTTCTTCTATGACTAGAATTTAACGGAGTGATTAACATATATTTGTTTCACATGTACTCAGTTCACAATATGAATCTTTTTGACTTTTTTGTGAAACAAAATGTACACGTAAAAAAGTTTCACATTGTGAACTAAATACATATGAAACAAACAGATTGTAATACAAATATACGTTAACTAATGCGTTAATGAGAAAAGTTCAAAAAAAACCCAACAAACTTTTTTATTTAAATGGTTTAGTCCGTAAACTATTTGTTTTTAGATGAAAAACTATTACACATTTTCATTTTGAATGATTAATTCCCTGAACTATTTTTTTGAATGAAAAAACCATTAAACTTTCTTATTTTGATTGATTAAGTCTCTGAACATCTTTTTAGTAAATAAATTATCGCACTTTTAAGAAGTGGTTACATATATCCTTTTAACCCAAAAAAAAAGCTACATTAGCCGCCGACTAGTATAAGTTATATAGTTTTTTTTTTTAAAAATTCAGGGTCTTAATCATTCAAAATGTGAAAGTTTAATAATTTTTTCATTTAAAAAAATAGCTCAAGAACCCAATCATTTAAAATGAGAAAGTTTAATAATTTTTCATTCAAAAAATAATTTAGGGACTAAACCATTCAAAATGAGAAAGTTTGTTTGATTTTTTATACATTTTCCTATATTAAATATTATACTTATATAGAAAAAAAATCATATAAAATAAAATCTTAAAATATAAATTCTCAAATGATTAAATCACATCAGAAGTAATATATGTATTGTCAATTTTCATACCCCTGGTTATCATCTTCCTCTCACATAACATTTATTTAATATATTTTTTAATTTTAAAATTACATTTTATACCCTTATAATTATTTAATTAATTTGTTTTATGTTCTTTGTTTTTTTATTTTTTATTTTACACCCTTATCACGTTAACATACATAATCATATATTAACTAAAATACATAAAAAAATACGTTCTAATTTTAACAAGTTATATAATTATAATTGTCTCGTCAATATCTTCGAAACGAGCCAATATTGAACATTTTTTGATTTAATTATATTTTTATATCATATATACTATGGAAAATATTTTTAATACTTACACTTTATACTCGTGTAGTTAATTATGTAATTTATGGTATGTCTCTTTGTTTTTCATTTTTTGTTTTACATCATTATCACATTAACATACATAATCATATATTAACAAAAATACGTTTTTATTTAACAAGTTACACCATTATAATCATCTCGTCAATACATTCATAATGAGCCCAATATTGAATATTTTTTTATTTAATCATATTATAACGACGAATTATTTTTAATACTTACACTTTATACTCTTATAATTATTTATTTAATTTGTTTTATATACCTTGGTTTTTCGTTTTTTATTATACACCCTTATCACATTAACATAGATAATTGTATATTAACTAAAATACGTTAAAGTATGTTTTTATTTTAATAAGTTACATCAGTATAATCGTCTCGTCAATACCTTTAAAATAAGCTCAATATTGAATATTTTTTGATTTAATCATATTATTAAAATATTATAAAAATGTAAATTATTTTTATTACTTACAATTTATACCCTTATAGTTATTTTTTATATACTTTTTCATTTTTCGTTTAACACTTTTATCAAATTAATAAACATAATCGTATATCAACTAAAATACGTTGAAAATACGTTTTTATTTTAACAAATTACACTATTATAATTGTCTCATCAATACCTTCAAAATGAGCCCAATATCAAATATCTTTTTATTTAATTATGGGACCGTAATTATATAAATATAATAAGAGTATAAAATAAAAATGAAAAAGTAAAGAAAATAAAGAAAATTAATAAATATTTATGAAGGTATAAAATGTAAATATTAAAAAAAGTCCATATACAAATATATAATTTAAAAATACGTATTTTTAATATTTTATTAATTAACTAGGTTCGAACCCGTGTATTACATAGGGTAATTTAAAAAAATTAAATCATGTCAAGAAACTTATCTTACATATATGAATGATTTATCAAAAATACAATGCTACTTTTTCAAGCTTTTTTTCCTTTCAAAATTGTTTTTTTTGCAGCTAGTTGCAAAATGCCCTTTCTTTGTTTTTTCTTTAATCTCTTCATTCTTGAATTTTCTTCGTATTCCAGCTTCATTGAGTCGAAGCTTTCAAAAAGAAAATCTTTCATCCTGCACCGAAAAAGAAAACGGGGTAAGAACGATTGAATATTCTGTAGAATAAAAAAGATTCTTCGATGAATATAAGATAAATAAAGCAAAATCGTTTGATTAAACTTACGTGGATGTGTTTTGGTACTAATGTGAAGCTTCCAATTGTTTGTTTTTTTTTTTGCGAAAACCCTAAATCAACTGTCTCTTTTCTCTTGGTCGCTTGTGCTCTATGTAGTGGAGCTGTCGAGCAAAGTGAAATGAAATGTAATGAGTAAAAATATATAGCATACTACATTCATCATTATCATATATACATAAAAGAATTATTTAAAAATATATATGTAGTATAGTTAGAATCATTCTAAGTTTAGAAGTTATATGTATATTATTTGTATTGTTTATAAAAAAAAAATGTAACATACTATTATAGGAACACATACTATGGGAATAGAGCCCTTTCTTACTCATGGTTCATTCAGGCATCGGTTCTTTTAAAGATATAAGTGTGATGAAGTTACAGTTAGATGGTTGATGAATCTACATTCTTAGATGATTATTAGTCAGGAAAAGAGAAACGGAAAATGAGATAGAGCAGTAAAAACATAAATGAAACAGAGTAGTGATGATATGATGAAAATTAGCGTGTTGACAGGTTTGCGATGTTGTAGCAAATTGATCATATCTCACTCATCAAGGCATCAATTTAGGGGATTCAAATGGCCCCGGATACACAACAGACGGATATACATGTTTCATGTTTTGAGCATTCAGTGATTCGATCTGTAGAAGGTCCATAAGTATCTTTGAAGTTGAATATAGTGTGCTGAAGCAAAGTTGTTGTGCATCGAGCTAGATCTACTTCGTAACCGAATAACCATAGCTTCTTTGTATCAAAAGACTAGATATATGTATGAAAGGACCAGAGCCTATGTATCAAAGGTCCAGAGCTCTGTATCGGATCATTATACGTCCTCGACGAAAATATAACACGTTGAACCAGAAGTTGCTCGACAGATCTGTGCGTTTGTGCTAAATCGATCATACCTCATGCGTCCGAGCTCCAGAGAAGTTGAATCAAGTCTCTATGGACAATTAACATACTAATCAACAATGTTCATGTTTTGAGTTTTCCCAAACTCGAAATATTTCATGACCAGAAGCATCGTGGAGGCCAGTGCAATGTTGTTGGACAGAAACCTTCGGTGTTGATTCTTGTATCAAAGAAGACCAGAGGGGGGGGGGGGAATCACAGGTGGACCAGAGCAACCAAGATGGACCTAAAATGCCTTCATGCAGATCTTTATATAGGCAAGCCAGAGGCTCTGCATGGTGCTATATGCGATAAAAACCTCAAAGACCAGAGCTTGCGGACCAGAGCTCGCAAAGATCAGACTTTACTATGGACAAGAGATGGACCAGAAGATCAAAGTCAGTGGTCGATGGTCCAGAGCTCATGGAACGAACGTGCTATGCATTTTGCAAAAAAGTAATAAAAATATGAATAAATATTAAGAATTTGCAAAACACAATTTATAATAGAACGTAAATGAAATTATGAAAAAGTACAGAGTTAAAATATTAATAAAAAACCATGTATCATAAATTAGCAAATACTTCTTTATACACAACATTCTTTGTTCTATTGCTAATTATACCATCATCATCCATAATTAATATTTTTAAATCTTGCCTACTTTTTACTCTAGATAAAGCAATATACAACTGACCATGGATGAAGACTGGTTGTCTCATAAAGAAACCAACATTCGATAATGACTTTCTCTGGCTTTTATTTATGATCATGGCAAAACATACAACAATTGGAAATTGTCTTTTTTGAAACTTGAATGGAATCCTTTTGTTTGTAGGTGTCAAAGACATTCTTGGAATAAATGTTTGGCTTCCAATATTGCCTCCAGATATGATCTCTGCTTCTATAACTCGATTTTTCAAAGATAACATCCGTAGTCTAGTTCCATTACATAACCCAGATTTCTTATCAATATTCCTTAGTAACATAATTGAACCAGAGGCGGACACAATAGCAAAAAGGAGGGGGGAAAGGACCCCAGTCAAAAACTCAACAAAAAAAATTCCTAGGTTAGAATTTAGGTTTTGCAGGATTTACCTTTCATTTTCCCCCGTTATATTTTTCCACGGGCCCCCAACCCCAATCGAAACCGTTACTCTAACAAAAAAAATCTAATGAAATTAATCAAAAAAACCAAAAAAATTATTCGAAATCGACAAAAACACTAAAAAAATCCCTCGAAATCAACCAAAAAACTTTAAAAATCCCTCGAAACGTTGTAATTAGGTTAAAAACACATCGGATGATTTTGCGGACCTTTAGTCTACCTTAAAGGTGACCCCAGTAAACAAAAAACCTGGATCCGCCACCGATTGGAACACCGACTTTTAGTAATATCTCGTGGTTTGACAAACCCGATAATTTAAGACCATTTAAGACATCAGGTGAGTACAAAGTTTCATCAAACTGTTCGTGAAGATGATCTGATTCACATAGACTATCTGAACTTAGGTACTCCTTTTCGTCTCCAGGAAACAATGATAGCCAACTCTCATTTATTTCTTGAACGACTTCATGCTTTGATGCAAGTATCGCTCTTTCCTAAAAATAGAATGAATTCTTGATATTTACAAGAATAGAAGGATAGACAAATTCAATTAATGCAAATATAGGATCCGTTGAATCGGTAATGAGAAGATCGTCAGGTATATTAATAATTGCCTCACCATCATTCACAGTTTCACACTACCAACCTTGTCTTCTCCTAAATCCAAAAGCCTGTTTGCAAAAATCCTTGTCTATTCGATATCAGAAGCTTGACCGTCAACAATTAACCTCATGTTTTTAGTTAACCTTAAGACTTTGCATTTTTCCCAAATGTAAGATGAACTTAACGACGCATTGACATGGTCTTGTCTACTTGCGTTGGGAATAACCGACATAATTTGTCTGAAATCTCCTCCGAAAACAACTACTTTGCTACCAAAAAGCATTTCCGAGTCAGTAATGCCTTTACTACCAAAAAATATCATTCATACTTATATCCAATGCTTCAAATTCATGCTGATGAATCATTGGTGTTTCATCCCATCTAATCAACCTAGTCTTCTTTATTAACTTGGCAACATCACTGTCTGACTTTATGTAATAAAGAGAATCTTCATTAAGAATTAGAGGAATTTGAAAGCGAGAGTGTGTTGTCCTACCTTCTGTAAGAAGTAAAGAAGCAATACCACTCGAAGCAATGTTTAAAAAAATTTCTTCTGCAGATCTTATTGATCCAAATAATGTTTTCCATAGAAATGGTTTTCCTATTCCGCCATAACCACATACAAAAAATACACCTCTTTGGTTATTTTGAACCGTTGTGATGATATCATCATAAACACCTCGTTGCTCATTTGTTAAAGCACCTAGATGTTGATGAAACTCAATCTGTAGATTAGTTATATCGTAATCTAGCTCCTCCGCAATCAAAAGATTGTTTGAAGACTCAACAGAATCATCATCAGGGTAAGACATAGTGGTGAAGTTTTTTAGGCTGGAATTTTTAAGAAGTAAAATCTTTTCAATCTCAAACAACGTGAAGTTCTTGACTTGATCTTCATTAAGGGATAAACCTGTGAAATATATAATATAAATATAACCATTACATAGAAATAATAACTAAAAAATATTTAAAATAAGAAAATAACATTTAAAAAATAATAAAACAATAAATTAGTTTATGTTCAAATAATAATTGTATAAATACTTAAATAGATAATTAACATACCTGGAGACTTTAGTATAATTTGTTGATTATAAAGAATCTCATCTGTCAAGTATTGACATGTTCTTTGCCAAACAAATTCAGGTCTAGACAAAGTATTTGAAATCAACATGGTTGCAAATAAAGACCGTAGATAAAAACCAGAATCGGTTAAACTTGCTTTTCAATGGCATCAACATATTCCTTGTTGTCATCTAAAAGCCCAAGAGCATAACATGCAACTCTAAAAGTAGAAAATATATCTCCATTTACTATATGAATGTCTTCGAATAATTTAGGACTTTTGATTTTATTCAAAAGAATTATTAAATAATACGCTTCACCAAGAGTAGGAGAAACTGAATGAATTCTTCCAATTGAAAAGCTTTTTTTCCTTCGATCCCAACATCGCTCTTCCAGTTTCTCCACAAACTCTGTAGGGAATTCAACATAATTAAGTTTTTGTGCTTCTTCGTAAAGTTCATTACACTTCATCCAAGCTAAGAACATTGAAGACGCCACAGAAGTTCTGTTTATGACATTTTCAATATCATCTTCAGCACCAAACATGACTTGTTGTTGTCTAGGAATATGGAAAGAAATTCTCAAAACAGAAGGAGTCTTGTAATGAACATCGTACCCAAATATATGCCATGAAGCTTCACTTGCAGATACATATCTACATTCATAATATACTTTTATTTCATCAACGAAATTATTATTATCTTCTTCATTACTGTTTTCTACAACTGCAACCGTAGCTCTATCTAGACCCTTGTTGATTTATTTGAACAAATATTTTATAGAAAGAGCCTGATTGCACCATTCAACATTAATGTGTGTCTAATATCTCTTCAAAATTTGTTATATGCAACAACAATTCTGTTATCTAATTTAACATCTGACTTTTCAATAAAACGTCCATCATTTCGTCTGCGATATAAAGGAAAACCATTACCATTGATGGAAGTGTGTTCAGAAAACCTTTTCATATATATTTTTGAACACTTTCTATCAATCATGCAGGGAAAGTTAATGTTTTCTTCACCACAAGGACCATGGATCATGAACTCCTTCACAAGTGAGTACAAATCTGGATTTTCGTCTTTGTCTGGGATCTCAGCTGAAATAATTGGATCAATTTGTTCAACAGTAGGTAGCTTGAAATCAAAGTGAATAAATAGACATATATGACTATGGGGCAAGTCGTGCTTCTAAAACTCCACTGTATAAACAACTACCCAAAAAGTGAAATTTGAAATTAATAAAGACAAACTATTAGTATGAACCTTTTGTTAAAATTATTATCATAAATGTAACATATATGCCTGAACCTTACCAAATAATGCATTGTCTTTCAACTTTTTAATAAGTGCATCAAGCTTTATCTTAAGTAACCGATAAAGAATATCAGGTCTGTCTTCTGGATTTACCATGGTGTCTTTAAGAAACCTTTAATTTCTGGTCATTTAGGGTTACATGTCACAGTTACAAAAAAATCTAAATATCCATACCACTTACAAAGGGACATTACATCCAAATAGTTTTGTATCATGTAACAAGCACCACCAGAAAATAAAATAAATTGGACTTGGTGTATTTTATGTAGGAGGGGTGGGAGATAAAAAAATCCCTATGTAAAGTGTAAATTATGAAGTTGGTCCAGGTGGTTTGCGTATATTACAAAATTGGTCCCTTGCCATTTATTATGAAAAAAAAAACTCCTCATGTTTGTATTTTGTTTTGGACTTGATTCCTTACCTTAATGGTCCTCTACCATCTTCGTTAAACTCAAATGGCTTTTTGGTCTTTTTGTCATTTTCTTCTATTTTTAATTTTTTTTCTTTTTCATCAATCTTCATCTAGTGCACCTTAAAATCAAGAGCAAACCCTAAATAAAAATCCCATGTAAGAGCTAAAAAGATGAATTTTACACACACAAAAGGTATTTTTACAAAAGTGAGGGACCAAAACCATACCCTTTTTGCAGGGATATTGTTTCAAGCAAAGATCTCAAAGTGCATGACTTACTAAAAGAGCCAAGAACATACACTTCCCAGAAAAAGACTGCCTTTACGTGAAACAAGACAAACAGAATATTTTAATCCCACGTTTAGCGGGATATGACAGGATGGGATAAAGTGAACAAAAATAGATGAAACAAAAATTAGAAAAATAAGGCAACCACTAAACCACCCATGCCAAATTCAAACCCTAAAACATTCCACAAATTTTTCACACTTCTAGTCGTGTCCAGTTCCATCGAATCCTGTTCACATCCTTAGTTCACATGTTCGATCGCAAGCAAAGCCATTTCTTGAAACCAGGCAAGAAAGAAACAAGATCTTTCAAAGGAAGAATAAGACAAGCAAAAATATATTCCACTAACTCGATTCTATGGTTAATTTAACATACAACAGTCAATTTACAAACTAACCTTCAATGGGTTCAAAATTTAATCAAATAAACACCTGCGAATAGTTATTGCAATTGCAGTAGACTTCTGAGGATGGAGAACAACTGCACAAATACCAAAACATAGAGTAACCAAAGCAACGGCAAGTATGAGAGGGTGGGATGAAAATAATCTATTGGTGTTGTAAGTAAACATGTGATTTGACCGTTTCTCTGATTGTTCCTTGCAGGGCGTCACACTCATGATGCAATCAGCCTGCAACAGTGGAACATTTTCACTTTTCTGTCCCAATGTTGGAATAGGTGTGTTGTCTGCTACTACTTCCATATCCTGCGTGTTTTTGAAACATGAAAAACTCAGTTTGGAGGAAACTTGTTGGCTTATAAGTTCTTCTCACAAGAGTGTATACATTGTTGGTTCTTTTGGATAGATTTTTGGAAGGTATTGAACATCCTAGATTTCGATTAATGCCTCTCCCCCTCCAGGGTAGAGTCAAAGTCTGCGTACATCCTACCTCCCAGGCTCTTAACTCTATGTGGGATATACTGGGGTTTGTATGGTTTAGTTTGGTCTAGATTTCTAATATTGCAACTCAAAATATTTAATTTTCCCTTGCAATTGACAAAAGGGTGGCCTCTTTCATCAACTCTGCCACAAATATGACTGCCAGTGTATTGTAGCTGCAAGTGCAAACACCGTCTTATACCAAGGCCATGTTTGGCAACCATAAGCTGGCTTATTTTTTGAGCTTATGGAAAGAACCCTGTTTGGTTAGCCATAAGCTAGCTTTTTGAAAACCTGCTTCAAGTAGTGTTTCAATAAGCTTCCGAGCCTTTTTTCCAATTATGACCCATATATTTTTTCAAGATGTCTTTATAGGTCATTTTACATTGTCATACATCTTATCAGCTAGTCTTTACCGACTAGCTTATTAGCCAACAACTAGCTTATTAGCCAACAGCTAGCTTATCAACTAGTTCATTGGCTTATCAACTTGCTTATAAACTAGAGGATATGCTTTTAGATGTCAGGGCTACAATACATGGTACTAAAAAAAAATTAACTTGGGTGTCAACTAAAGAAAAATATTTTAAATTATTTCATTTTAATGGGAAAAAGGATTCAGTTAATCATGAAAACGTTCAACAGAGATCAAAGGTATGATTCCCATACCTGATTAATGGTTGGAGTGGAAGGAAGCACCTGATATCTACAGCTTTCATCATTCTCTTCTGACGAAAAATCTCTTGGATGCAAACCCAGATTAAGTTTTTTCTCTAGTCGCTGACAAAGGACTTCTGTGGCATGATTCACGGTGCCCTGAAGCAGTGTCCAATCAGCTTCAATAATGTCATCACTTTTAATAATTCTTGTCTTCACACAGTGCAATACTCTCTTCAAAACTGTGGTGGACTCGTATTCAATTAGAAAGTTAAGTACACATCTGAATCTTTGCAGCTGCAATGACATCATAGCATATTCCATTTCTTCCACAACCGGCTGCTTGAGTAACCATGCCATGTCTAGGAGCAATTCAGAGAACTCATTCTGTCTAAAAACAGCAACCTCACAAGAAACTGTTGTAGCTGTAGACTCCGAATCTCTTGAATGGAGAATTGAATAATATTTCATCTGCATAATTTTGATCTCGGTACATACTTCTTCGTCCGCAATGAGAATTGGAATGAAATTGGAGAGACCAGATTCATTCTCGACCTTCAAAATAGTTGAAGCTAATTTAACAGGCAGAATTGAATGCCGAGCAATAACAAACTATAAGACTGATCAGTAAAGCTTCAAATAATTCACCATCTCAAGATAAAAAAAATTAAACACATGGGTGATTAAGGACATTCAACCATAATCCTCGTAATACATCCTCTTAATGAGTATTGATCAAAGCAAAGCCGTTCTTTTCAATAAAAATATGCCTCCATAAAAAATTTCCCATTCAGCATCAGAATGGCTCACAATTTTCTTCCTCTGTCCCATGAAAATCATAAAAAATCCATTTAGGATATCCCATAAACATTTCCTTCCTTGGAAAAGATTTCAAGTACGATTGCATCTTTGTCCATTAATAATCGCTACAACTTCTTAATAACACCATTTGTGGTCCACAAAATTCGTTTAATTTGTCATTATTGGACATTTGACAAGTAGTCAAAAGACTAGATGCTAGATCACTGTCGCGGTACCATGAATGCTAAGGGGCTTACGTACTTGCATCATCCCTGTTAGGGCGATCTTGCATTCGGTGGATTAGTGCATTCTGTCTAGCCATGGTGCCCTCATCCCTTATGTGGCTTAGGGGTCTCCTTGTCATAGGATAACAGGTTGTGAGACTTGGATCCATCCATCAGATCAGAACTTCGGTTTTACTATCTGTCAAATAAGCCAATCTTGATGTCCCCATGAAGTCCCTCAAAAGTCATACACAGAGACCAAGGCTACAATATGCTGGTCATCTTTTCATGGCCACAATTTAAGCATTTAACACGTATCTATGATAATCATGCAACTAAGGAATTCCAAGAACATGTATCAAGAAACAAATAGTAAGGTCAAGTCCGGAAAATTTCAAGACTAATATTTATCTGAATCAACAAGTAACAAGACCTTTCAATATTTCTGCATATATAAATAGTTAAACAATAATCTGAACCAAACCTCAATAAACCCAGGGCCGAAAACATCCAATTCAGTACCAGGAACGCGTATATTCAGTAACTGATGATCAAAATTTGTTGTAGAGGCCTCATTTTTGTTGCACGATGGTGAAACATGCACATCATTTGTCATATACTTGCCAGCAAATGATACTAAAAACCTGCAGTTAATACACAGTTATATAATCAACATTCATACGAATTAATATTTATGAATATACAAGTAAAGCATGCGTACAATGCCATGTCAATGTTGTGCTTATGAGGCGCAAAAGATAATCAGTAGAGAACTTGGCTTTATGCCATCAGCAAACATGCTTTATTCCTGAAATTAAGTTGCAGATATCAACATCCAATGGTGCTTAACTATTAAGCATTATCATTTATTTGATCTGTTTCACATGGACCTGGACTCGAACAAGATTTGTTGCATCCCTAGACCACACCCAAAGATGATGATTAAAAGAAGCTTCAACAGACAGATTAACTACCTTCCAAATTAAAGAAAAAACATAATTTGGTCGTTCCACTTTTCAGATTTTAACAATCAAGTTAATGTAGATTATTTGGATGATTTAGTTGATGCTTGGTTGGGGGTGTTAGAGTGTAAGGAATGGGAATGGAAATGATTGAATACGGTTGGTATGGATGGATATAATGATCCACTACCCTATAATGGGTAATGGACCATTCCTGAGAAAATAGGGGAGATTTAGTTTCAAAACTTGCAGACCTCTTTTCTAGGGCACAGGCGATGAACACAATGGCCCCAATTACATATCTTCAGCTCCACTGCAAACCATGCCAATCCCTCTACCTTTCCCTCTTCTTTCAAACCCATTTCAACAACAAAATCCCGCTAAAACATGATAAATCTCTTTCTTCTTGTTACCCTTTCTTCACTAGTCTTCCAACGTCATCATCAAGAAATCACACAGATACAAGTCCAGATTTTTTAATTTGATGGTGACAGTAATAGCAGTTCTTTGAAGCAGAGTGACAAGGGGGAGAAAAGAGGGTTATCATAGATAAAGACCTGTTTTCATGATCGAAGGCTACGGTAAGTCAACAATCATTGGGGTTTATTTGCAGATGCACGCTGAGCAATAAGATGAGCATAGGTGTTAAGATGCCGTTGTTGTCGTGGAGCTCCGTCGTCGTACGATGACAAAATCAATTTATCCGTCAGAAATGCCAAAATGACTTGTAAACTTTGCAGTAATAGTTGTACATTCCTTAGGATTTCTTCTCTAGCAAAAGACTTGGACCATCATAATAGGACAAAAGACTTCAAGATTTCCCTCCTTGTTGTCTTGATAGTGATTCCTCATGTCATCCAAGCATTTGCAATGCAATGGAATAACACATTTCCATTTCCCAACATTCCCATTCCCCACGAATACTGTGTTTTTGTGTCCTTAACAATGTTACCATCATCGTTACTGTCTGCCGATATTGAGAAAATTGCTATATGGATGAATGTGTGGCAGTACTTATGTAAACATCAAGCCAACAATTCTGACAAAACATGGTTTATCCACAATACCATATTTTGTTGAATAGGTCAACAGAACATCTGTTGACTACTCTTGAAATAATTATCCAGGACATTTACACCATCTAGTTTTACCCCAAAGACAAGCTTAGTTAGCATGTGGCTGTATCATTCCTACTGAACCATAATACTAAAAAGCTAGTTGACCAGGTATTTGTTCCACCAGCTCCACATATTGCCACATGGTCACCAGAAATCTGCAGACCCTGTATACCAATCCAGGTTTTCCAAGCTTAGAACGTAAGCTCTTCATAAATGACAAATTGCATGAGACTGCACTCAATCCCTACGGTGATAACTATGGTTCTAGAGCTAAGAACCATGAACTTTAAACAACATCGCATGGTTACTTTAAATTTAGAAACCCCATTTTGTAGATTCAGAACTATAACATTTCAATCATTAAGAGTTGAGGGAGAGCGGAAAGATACGTCGATCTAAAATTTAAAATTCACATAGCAGCATCATATTCAGATATCTGGCCCACTTTCTTCCGTTTTGTGGCTAACTTTATGCTGTATGGAAGAAATGTAGAACCTCTGATATACAACATATAAGAGAAATGTACTTTCCTCTGATTCATGAAGTTAGAATACGGACTCTACAGAATATCGTAATTGGGTCAGCAAATCACATTAATAATAATTTTTTCTTACGATCCTTAGATTCTCAATGATTTCCATGTTCCAGTTTCCAGATTCAATCAAATAAGTCAATTAAGAATTTGATTGTTGTACTATGCAATTTCAATAAGGTTATAGGAGATTCAGTCTTCAGATGTCAGTCAAAATATTGGAATGCTTATCACAAAAGTGTGCTTAAACCAAGAAAGTTAAAAGGAAGACAATCGCTTATGTACCTAAGTCTGGGCTGAAGCAAATTACTTCCACATGCCAAAAATTCTATGGGTTTGCCTGCTTCAAAGCATGTAGGCTGCACGCAATGAAGCTTTGGGGATCTTTCCCCTGCCTTAATTTTTATCACGGACCTTCCACCTGCATCCAACAGTTCGGTGCACATAAGTACACAATTTTGTAGTCCTATATAACTGGTAGCAGACAATCTGTCTCACAGAATAGCGTTCCCTCAAAACAGAAAAGAGAAATTAGTTAGAGCTATGAAGCTTCGTTTGCTGGTGGGTCAGTAATATATTTAAGATCATGTGTTAGCAATTATTCAACACATCAGCAATACTCTATACCTAATATGATAACAAAAATGGCATTCCTCCTAGAAGCTACTCATGGAAATATGATCCAATCATGACGATTTATGCCATTCGGGTGACCCTGTTTCATGTAGTATTCAAGCATCATTTTTCTATCCAATGAGTGCAGAAACTATGTAGCTACCTCAAAGTCATAGAAGAAACAACAAAGAGATGGGGAAACATACTCATTCACTCACACCCACAAGCATGCACATACTCACACGCCCTAGGTACTTCAGATGACAACTTAGCTTGTTCTTGCCCACCAGAAATTTGCTTGATTCTTATAAAGAAAGTCAAGCTCCATGATTTACCCCGCTATTGTCCTTTTCGATACAGTACTGAATTTCATTAGTATTAGAGCTAAATCCCGAGTTTTTCAAGCTTTAGAACATATCAATAACCTAGCCTCTAAATGCCTTACTAAACCATAACTTGTCAGCCTTCTCCACTTTTTCACAACCCACTTTTCGCTGATAACAAGAAAAGCAAAAAAAGAACAATAAAAAGAAAAAGAAAACAATAAAGATAGATAAGAACTATTGTTCACATGTACAGCACTAATCGTAAGAATATTGTGAAGAAGTTGAAAGGAGCGAACAAATGCTTGAAATTTTGAAGGCATGTTATTGATCGCTTTGGTAAATTTGAAGAAGGGAAGTAAACCAAGATGAAAGACGAAATCAACATGACTTGTTTCCATCTTAGCTGGCATCCAAGCTAAAGTGCTTGAAATCAAAGTACTTTATCTTCCTATCTTGTTCTTCTTCAAGAACTTGAAGATGAAATAATCAATAGACACCCCAAGCTGCAATTAGATTAAGTAGGAACTGCACATCGGAATAATGAAAAAATGGTATTGCAAGCTAATTTTCATGAGAGATCCAATGTCAAGAACATGGACTTTATTTCCACGTTAGGACATTCTTAAACGCCTAGGAAGTTCTCATCATAAATTTTAATACCAAATTTGGGGCATAGATTTCATCATCTTTCCTGAATTACTGAAGGATCCACTATTCTTCCGGAATCAATGTACTCATACACACTTAAGGATGGGTCTTCTCTGAGAAGAGGAAGAAAAATGAGCAAGAGAAAAGGCATCACCAAAAATTTTACGAAATTACTTCTAAGGAACCATATTTCTATGTAGAATCGTAGCTAATAATCATGTAAAACCTTTAGCTGACATGATAGCATAAAAAAGGATTTGACGACAAAGCATTAGCCATTTCACTAGAAGAAAATATGTGTCAAGTATACATTGTCTTAATTTTTCATTCTTTCCTTGGTTGCATTTTAGGTTTAACCTGCACGGATAGATATTATAATCCTCATTGGGTTTAAAAGATAGAATGATTGTTATTATTTCGTATTGTCAGGTTTTCTTTATCGTTGTTGTTAATAACATCCTTAAGATTGCACAAAAAAAATTGTACACGTGTCTTTCTCAATGATAAGACTAACAAATCTCATATTAGACAGGGATATGTAATAATAAAATAACAACAAATGAGAGCGAATCGATAACAAAATAGCACTTGCAATGTTAAAAGAAGCCATCAAGGTCAACTAACCTTTCATGACACTGAAGATATTGCCATTTAGGTTAACAAAAAATGTGTCTCGTCCAGAAAGCAAGTTGCTTGGTGAAGCAAGGAGGTCAAGTATACATGCAACCGGATCTTCACTTAACTGTTCAAGAGTTTACCCTAAGTTAGATGATGTAGATGTAGATGCAGATTAGAAGACATGAGTACATACTTAAGCCAGATAATGAACAAATGTACAGAGATAAATCATAAGATAAAAAGATGAGATCCTAATCTGCATCTCAAGTTCTGACTTATGCTTTCTATTTGATTAGTAACTTGTTTATTTTTTATCTATTTTGGCATTGTACATATTTCCGTTACTCCCTAGATAATGGTAGCATTGTATTACCTAATATTTACACAGCATCAAAACTAAGACTCGACAACTAAAAACCCTAGCTCTCACAAAAGACACAGCGATGTGAACAGCAGCTGTTGCCTTACCCACATCCAGATGAAGATTGGACTTAAATCCCAACATTATCCTCCGACTTCAGCAAGAGTGTTAGATATATTTGTATTTCATCTGTCTTTTCCCTTTGGCCCATTAGTTTATTATGCTTTACTACCAAAACAGTAGCTATTTATTAATCACCAAAATTAGAACTGCTCAATGGCTTCTGTAGAACAAAATACAACCACAATTCTTTGTAATATTTATAGCATTCTGAATGCATTAAATTTAATAATTCAATCAGGAATCAAAGAAAAAGGCATCACCTTCACCCACATAAATCTTGGCATTGCAATGAAAAGAGTTAAGATTACGCATCCGGGACGAATATATCCTTCCAACTCCACGGGCATGCTGGCCAACCACTGAAATATCTGTAAAAAATATACTTATGTCACTCACCTGGTAAATACAAGTATTTAAACTCCTTCAAATGCTAGCAAATAGTAATCATTTGAGTACCTGATGTCGGAGTCTACGAGGGAACTCCGCTGGATTCCAATCGTAAAGCTTAAATGAGATCCGACCAGTTGGGCACTTCAATAAAATGTATATCAATACACATGGTATGCTACTGGAAAGATTCAGATGAAAAAAATGTTTTAACAGCAAACCTAACATTTATAAAGAACCTACCACAGAGGAGAAAGCACTCCTATCGTCACAATAGGATGGAGAAGGAACACCTTTTTCTTTTTCTTCATCCGTTTGAGTTTCACCAGATGCAGCTAAAGATGGAATGCTGTCGCTGTAAATATTTTGGGCTTGAGTGGAGCTCGGTATGGTATTATGCCCTTCAGCTGCTAAAAACAATTTCTCTCCTGCTGCTTCACTACTCGTGCATTTTGCACCTACACCATAAAATTACTTCAGGGATCAAAAAGAATAATCGATAAAGAATTCACGCAAGTAAGAACGAGTCATGATCAACACTCAGGTGAACCCTACCACCCAATATATCACAAGTAAAGGTAGAAAAATAAAATCTCACTCATGTGAGCTTATTTCTGTAATGCAAATTATTATGTCAATTTCATGATTTTTGCATCAGAATAGGAATAGATGTTAACTTCCTCCAGCATTTAATCATCAAAAATACTATTTCCTCCTTTTTATTATTAAATCCTTAGATTTTTCCTTGTTTCTTTCTCCCTGAGAGTTTGTTCAGTTCCTGGAAGGTGAGATGGAATACCATCTTAAAACACAAAGAACAGGAAACACAAGTTGATGTTACAGGCACCTTTTCCAGCTTCATCATAACCATCATCATAATCTGCTGATTGAAGTCCAGATGCCTTGGAGTCTGAGGGTTTTCTTCGACGCCGATTATTATGACGTTCTAACTTTCTGCGGCAACTACGTTTACCTTCATCAAAATCTAACAGGACATGAAACCTACAACATGGTGAGTTTGTCAGCATATAATTAATATGGAAGAGATATAACATAGATTTTTTTTGGGTAAACATAGATAGATATAACGTAGATTTGTCACCACTAACTAGAATTTTCATTTACATATTCAGTTCCAAGAAACCAAAACTTTAGAGAATCTCTAACGAAACAAAACATTATCATAGAATATGGTAAAGCAGAACTGTTATGATGTAAAAGAAAAGGCTACCCATAGATACGTGAACATGCTTAATAAGAAACACATAAAGAAACTCTTGTAATTCCTTTTTCTTCGTCGGAGTGAGAAAAGAAATGTTCAGAATAAGGATAATAAGAAAGAAAAAAAAAGGAAATTACTGACAGAGTTTGGTGCACCTGTTGACCAGTTTTTAGTCTCAAGCCAAAAAGGATATTGATAATCTCCACAATCCATTTTCACAAGAACTAATAACAATCACAGAACCACGCCACGCCCACTCTCATGAAATTAATCACAATATATTCGCTGCCTGACTTAAATGTCACCCTCATATCACTTAAATAACGATAAGCCCAGTCTGGATCAGCAAACACATAATCATGTTGCTATCTTGAAGAGTAACCGCAATAACAATTGAGCTTCGAATCTTCTTATCGGTAACATTCCCATGTGGATCAGAGTCTAGTAAGACATGAGTTTTGAGTTTGCTAAGGATACCTAACTGCGCCCATGTGAATTAATGAGTCACATTTATTGCTCATGTTGTAATATATTTGATCATCTCTCACTACTGTTGATATATTTGTGGTACTTTAATCTGCTCACCATATTCTGACTGGATATGTGGGGTTTTTGCATGTTCTAAGGGTTAGATATACAGTCCAACTTCTTGTACCGTAAGCTGTCTCCAGCTTCTCTAGTCTTGTTCCTGATTTCAGTTTATCAAAAGTGAAGGGAACTGTCACATATCCATTTTGATTCAGGAAAATTAAGGTTTTTTTTTAAGTATGGGGGACAACTTTTCATACTCAACCCTAGAAGGTTCTGACACTGAGTTTTCTGTATCTACCTCTATCTATCTAGCTGATTTGTTTTATCTGTTTGCTTTGGTTATTCTGCATTTAGCCAATTGAATCTCTTTGCTATGTTTGCTGTTTGATCTACAATCACGCATGAACCTGGTAATATGTAGTGTCTCCATTGCAAGGAGTAGGGTCATAGTAAATAATTGTCTAACTATCCTCCTCAAGTTCTTGTATTCCAGTCTGGCATTTGCAAACCTTAAGTGGCTCTTCTAATACGACTGCTACTACTTATGGGGCTGCAATCAGACCCATAGAAAATGGCACCTCTCTGGCACTTTCATTCTGTTCAATGGAAATCACTCAACTTCACGTGGTTAGCTAAGTTACCTATTTTACTACATGTCCCCATCTTGGACAATTGTGTTCTCGTCTTCTTGTCGGATGACACAAAACAATGATATTGACAAATATAAGACCTTGCTTACAAGCCCCTATGGAATTAATCAATATATCTTCCTGTTCTATTTGCAGTGTCGATCAAACCAACATCCCTCCAGATTTACCTTGATCATGTGTTTCACATGTTTTCACTTCCTAGAAATCCAGTTGTTGCAAGATATATTACCAAACAACTGAATCATTCAGAAACCTTTTGACCCACTCATGGTTTTTTTGGCAGTTGGAAACAGAACGATAAATGAGATGCATTCCATCTGTCAAAAGGTACGTGCAATTGAGCTGCATATTTGAGTGTTCCAAGTGTTCAGGACGTTCATCACCAGCTAGGAAATCCCTCTCCAGAATTTGAAGAAACTTCTATGGTATGGCAGAATGATCTTGTAAGCAGTGACGATTAGAAAATTGACAAGCATCCTGAAAATTTTCATTAATGTAAATGAATTGTTGTCGTTAGTTTATTGTGATGTGCCATGGAAATCCAACTGAGTCTCCTTTTTATCTCTTTTTGCAAAGTGTTCTAAGAAGCAATAACTGGAGGTAAGCAGTCAAAGCATTGATGAATACCATTACCCCCAGTAGCTAGAGTAACCTCTTTTGACTCTTCCAACAAGAAGTATGCTATCATGGATTTAGATTGTATTTAGGATAAAATATCAAACTAAGGCACTATCATGTCCAATTGTCCAGACTCCAGTAGTCCCCCCCCCGGTTAAAAAAAATCCATGGTCAAAGTCCCAACCTTGCCTTAAACAATGTGCAGGCTATGTCATTGTGATCTAAAAATATGACCATCCCATGTGAGACTTACAATATGTTTGTCAACCATTAATCAGCATTTACTACTCCAAAGACTAAGGGGGTTGAAAGATAGTATTTTTTTTTTGTGTTATATTGGCTATACTAATTATTATTCAAATGATGCTCAGCAGTTTAGCTCTAAAAAACAATGCGAAAAATGTTACAGAATTTCCAAGCACTATCCATAGCTGAACCTCCGTAGTACCTTAATGTAACATGAATTAGCTCTCATATATTGCTGACACTGATGGTAGCCTTCTCACTTGGTGATAGACATCATGATCAATATCGAATTAGTTCAAACGGCGCATCCCTGTTTCCCCAAAAATTAAAGAACATAAAAGTATGTCCACTAGAAACACATCCCGTTTAGCATCATACTAAGGATAAGATCAATGTGAATCTTTAACATTTTGGTTTCTTCACTGTACTACAAAGATCGATTTCCTCTTTTTTATAAAATGTTTTGGTGGTTATATAGCCAAATCTTCAATACCAAAATACCTCTTAACAAATTTTACCTCATCCCTGCAGTAAAAAGATGCAAATGAATTACAGAATACACAAGTCTTTGAGAGCCCACAACAACTATATCAATCTTCATATCATAATCAAGAATCCCCGCACATCTCTAATAAAATGATCCTCAATCACAAAATAGGCTAGAGGAAATACCTTCATCCATCCCTAACTATCCACTTCATTATCAGGGAGTGTAAAGGAAACAGATCTCTACATAAACTGAATTAATATGTTCTCTGATATTCCAATATAAAAGAATAATTTTGGTGAGTTCATCCATAAATGAGTCAACCAATACGCATGAAGGGAAGTAGGGAACTGTTGTTCAACCTTCTAAATTTAGGTCCATATGAATGAATAAATGACAATAACAAAATTTAGTCATGAAAACAATTGGGAATAGAACTTACTTGCCACACTGCTGGCAGTATCTTTTATTGTGGCCATCAAGCACCACAGTAGTAGCATTAGCACACCGGAGACAAACCCTGTGCCGTTTGTGATACCCTTTAAGCTCACTGATATCCACCTCACACCCAGGAACCTGACACCTAGAACTTGCCACCGTTCTCGCCGTAATCGTCCTAGACCGTTTCTTTCCAGGAGCAGTCTCTTCTTCCTCCGCCAACAGCTGCGCGTCAAGCTCGGGACAAGCGCATGGGATCCGACCCGCCAGAAAATTGGAGCATGCCATCCTCGGATCCCGTTTCCTAACCCTATCATTAGTATTAGAATCGGGTACCGGTTCCACATGGGAATTGTCGATCGGATGGAGTTCCGGAGATATTGGAATCAGCGGGGAATGGTCTGTGGGTAAGGGCAAATGATCATCAATGTTGAAATCGAGTAACTGATTCCAGTCCCAAATCGAAGTCGACGACTCGTCGATGAAGTCCATGTTGAAAGCCGGTGGTGGCGGTGGTGGTGGAGACGTTGGAGGAGGATTACGCATTTGGTTGTAAATTGTAATATTGAGGAGGAAACCCTAAGTTGGTGGTGGTTGGTGATGGTTGGTGGCGGCAGTTACGGAGAAAGGGATGAATATGATTAGGCCGGATGAAAGTGAAAGGAACACCTTACCACCTGTGGCTTCCGAGAGAGTCAGCGATTTGGTGGTAGTGGTGGTGGTGCGGATGCTGGTGGTGGTGGTGGTGGGCCATGGCTGCGGGTATATGGTCACGTCAACCTTTGAGGTACGATCCTGTATTCGTGTCCTCACGCTAAGGTTTCACCAAACATTATCTCCACACCGTTAAAAAGTCTCCGCGTGTGTTGATTAACGGATAAAAAAAGAATATCTGAATTATTGGAAGAACATCATTATTTTAAATTTAAGTAGCAACGCAACTGTCCAAATCATTTTGATTATGAAGTAGACAACCTGAAATAATAATATTGTTTCAAATTTTATATTATTACAGTTTTTTTTTATGTTAATTTTATAGTTTTTTGTGATTTTAAATTATAATCAGATGATTTATAAATTCAAAAAGTAAAAATGTTATATTGGTCAAAGATTTTGAAATAATGTTTTTAACCCAAATTATTTGTTGTTCTTGTCTTTTAAAGATCAACTTATGTATTAATTGGTGGTTTATAGTTTTTATAACTTGTAATTGAAAAATAAAATGCGAATTTTATATTTTAATAAAAAATATGGTAAGAATCCTCAAAAAATATCTTCATTTTGATAAATATTCAATCCAATTATTAATTGTTCATAATTGATTAAAAATAAAACACATTTAAATGATTATGATTATGCATTTTTCATATGGTAAATGTGTTAAATGAAAAATGAAAATATATTGATATAAAACAAATTATTTCTTAGGTATTCATGATATTTAATAGTATTATTAAATCTAAAAATATTCAATATTGAACTCAATTCGAATATATCGACGAAACGATTATAATGGTGTAATTGTGGAAAAAAAAATTAAAAGTTCATATACGATTGTTTATATTAATATGATATAGATGTAAATGAAAAAGTAAGAGATATAAGGTAAATCAAATCACTAATTATAAGAGTATAAAATGTAATTTTGAAATTGAAAATGATTTGATGGAAGTAAGCTTTAAGAACTTATACAATATTCTTAATTAATTGTACCTCTTAAAAATTCAAGAATAATTGAAACTTCTGATTTTTAATATAGTAAAAATATACAGTTATTTATGTTGATATGATAATGGTGTAAAATAAAAAATGAAAAAGTAAGGGATATAAAATAAATCAAATCACTAATTATAAATAAGGGTAATAAAATGTAATTTTGATATTTAAATGATTTGGTGGTAGATCGTGGGAGTTTGTAAGCTTTAAGAGCTGTACAATATCTTTAATTGGTTATACCTCTTAAAAATTCAAGAATAATTGAAACTCCTGCTTTTTAATATAGTAAAAAATATACAATTATTTATTTTAATATAATAATGGTGTAAAATAAAAAAATGAAAAAGTAAGAGATATAAAGTAAATCAATTCACTAATTATAAATAATGGTAATAAAATGTAGCTTTGAAATTTAAATGATTTTGTGGTAGATCGTGGGAGTTTGTAAGCTTTAAGAGTTGTACAATATTCTTAATTGGTTATACCTCTTAAAATTTCAAGATAATCATAACTTAGGGGCCGTTTACCAAACACTTACCCGAGTAAGCGCTTAATAAGTCACGTTACATCACCGGATGAATATGATAAGAACTAAGAATCTTACCCGGTAAGAGCGAGACAAAGACCATAAGTCTTACCCGATAAGTGAGGGCGACGACTCTTACCACGGTAAGCGCTTATCAGGTGAATTGTTGCATACAATGTCGTTTTGATGGATTAAAATCTTACCCATAAATAAATAATAGTTTTAAATTTTACCGATAAATACTTACCGGGTAAGTGTTTGGTAAACGAACCCTTAGTTTTCTTTGATATGGCATAGATACATATAATATAGATATAAATAAAACCATAAGGATAAAAAATATGAAGAAAAAGAAATTACATGTAAAATATTTAATTACTTTAGCATAAACAATAAAAGAAATTCATGTGTTTAATTCATCAGGTCCAACAGCAAGCATCAGTTTAAGTTAGGGTGGGGGTGATTTAGTAGCAGTGGATGGCAAAATAGCTTTATTATTTATTCCATTTATAATGACCCTTGCTCCAAAGAGTATCACATCATTGATATTCATCAAAAAAAAAATATGATTTTATTAAATAAAAAAGACTTAGGGGGTGTTTGTTTTTCCAAAAAAACCACTTAGGGGGTGTTTGTTTTTCCAAAAAAACCACTTAATACCTCTTATGTTTGAATCGGTCAGACCTTGAGGTATTAAGTGCGTTTGTTTTTTCTTTCAATTAAGAGCTGAAAATGTGTATTTTTATCTGAATCGGTTAGACCTAAATTAAAGTCTGAAACACCTCTTAAACCCCGATTGTCGCTCTACCCTCATCGCTCTAACCTCGTCGCTCTACCTCTCCATTGTCGCCCCTGTACACTCTCAAGCCCCGATTCAGATTTCAAGCTCATCTCTCGCAGTTGCTCAAGCTGCATCTGTAATCAGATTGGATTTCAACTTGTCAGCATCTGGAAGAACAGCGGTAATCAAACCGCCGATAGCCACAGCCACGCATCTGGTAAAGCTCTTTCCATMTTTGCAACTTAATACCTCTTATGTTATAAGCTCTCGATCTCGATTTAAAGCTCTCGATCTCGATCTCTCTCGCAGTTGCTCAAGCCCTCGATTCAGATTTCAAGCCCTCGATTCAGATTTCAAGCTCTCGATCTCGAACTCTCACGCAATCAATCTCACAGCAATCGATCTCTCTCCAGCCCTCTCACGCAATCAATCTCCAAATCGCTGTTGATCTTGATCTGCTAACCTAAAATCTTCAACAAGTATGTCAATTTCTCTATTTATGTCCAAAACTGTTTTTGGTACCCGATAATACCCACTGTAGATTGTTGAATCCCATCTGCACCTCCAATAAAAGCGAATGCTTCTTTATTGCACTCTATAATCTATATCAACCACAGCTATTGTACAAGCTTATAAAGTTGCACTTTTTTGTTTAGTTATATTGTGGTATACTGGTATGCATCCCGACTAAATTGGTCTTCTTGTCTACATCTCCAAGTATAAAATCAGATTGTTTGATAGTTTTTGTCTGACATGGATGGTAATATAATCATGGAAGTGCTGCATTGTTGGATATTTTGTTCCACAATTTTGGGGAAGTGTGATTAAAGATTTTGGGATGTGTTGTTTGCTTCTTCTGGAGGTAATTCATTGCTAACTTCGGMAGTCTTTTTTAAGCTACACACAAGTTTGTGTTTGGCTGATGCTGTGATGCATGATTCCTCAAATTCATTAATAACAGGTGAATTATTGGGTATATGAAAATATGAAATCATTCATCCTATCTTTTGCCTTTCCCCAACCAGTACAGACTGACTAACATGTAGACAAAAAAGTTGATGACAAAAATAATTGAATACTTGACTAGGTATAAAACTTGCTGATATAGTCCGCTAAGTCTAATGCATTTTGTTGATATACCTGTCCAGTCACCCTGGTTTGTGGTTTGTTTGTTAAGTGTGAAACTGTTAAGTGTCTTGTAAACTAGCCTGTTGCTTAGCTTCTCTTGTAAACTACCAGTAACAAAATCCATGTTCAGTGTTTGTTTTAAGCTTATTCATATCATTTTAGTTCACTTCGATTTACCATAGCAAAAATAGAGTTCCATATGAGTTTTATCTTTTCTGCTTTATTTTAGTCATGGATGAGAATGTGCGTGTGAAGTGGACAAACGAACTTACCAAACGGTTTCTAGAGATTTGTATAGAAGAGGTCAATAAGGTGGGTCGAAATGGAGGTAGTCTTCGCAAGGAGACGTGGGTGCAAGTGGCAACCAAACTTGAAGAGGTTTGCCATGTAAAACTCACCCAGAAACAACTGAAAAACCAATATGATTATTTGAAAGGAAAGTATTCGGGATGGGTGTACCTACGTAATAAAACAGGGAATCTTTATGACCCTGAAATGAATACGTTCACCCTAACTAATCAAGAATGGGAAGATTTTTTCAAGGTTAGTTTTTATTCTTTTTTATCTTTTTAGATATTATAGACAAAAACACGAGTTTTATTTACCTTCTTAATTTGGAGGCAGGGACATCCAAAGGCCCGAACATTGAAGACAGCACCATTGGCATACCCTGATTTATGTATAGCTTTGTTCGAGGGGACTTCTGCTACTGGATCTCGTGCGTATGCCCCTAGTTCAACCCGTGAGAGGATTATGATTTCATCTTCATCATTTACATCCAATATCCCTACTACTCAAGAACCTGAAAATGAGGTGGATGGAGATGAGGAGGAAGGACCTTCCGTCAATATTGCAAGCACAACTCCATCTAGACCGAAGAAGAAGAGTAAAACCAAGGTCGACATGGATGAATTGGCTCTAGAAATGAGGGGTGCACTTCAAACACTTGTTACACAAAATGCCTCAAACCTAAGTGCTTGTATGGAACGGTTGAACACTCTTGACCTTGATAAAAGGGATCCTCTTTATAGAGCAGCCGTTGACATTTTTGGGCAGTCAACGTTATTAAGAGAGACATGGTTGACGATCCCTTTAGACGCTGAAGAATTAACAGATTGGATTTCAAGGACGGCAAGACGAATGGGGTTCATGGTTTAGTTTTTAGAATTTGAACTAGTGGCTTGGTTGTGCATTTTATATTTGAACAAACAGTCTGACTACTTGGTTATGTATTTTGGAAGTTGAACAATGAACTTTATTTGGTGATGTGTTTGATTATATTTTAATTTTATTTATGTTTTAACAGGTTTATCATGGACAATCATATCAAAACTATAATTCTCATCGTCGTATTTTTATACATGTTCTACTTGCGACAAAGGCGTTTAAAAAGGAAAAGAGATAATATGTCTGCAATGACTGGAGCTCAATTTACGAATGAGCTCGTTGAAGGTAGTGATCGACAATGTATTGACTTATTGCGAATGTCACGTGAAGCTTTCATTCGATTATGTGATTACTTTAAAGCAAAAGGTTGGTTAACGGATAGCAAACATATATTGGTCGAAGAAAA